GAAATGTGTATAATCTCCACCTTCTTTACCTTCTCTTAGGTATGATCTGTCTTGCTTATTACACTCGAAAGCACACATACCTTTATAGTTTACCGGCGAATCTTGAAATGAGTGGAAATAAAAGTGCACCAGATAAATGTTTGAATTGATTTGCTATATATAACATTAAAAATTTATACAATCCATAATGTTTTGATAATATTTTCGCTTACTTTGATTTTTGATAAATTAAGGACCTATTAAGTGTTGTGTTTAAAATTCAACGAATAATATGCTGATTTTTTTTCATTTATCGGAAGCTGTTTGTTTTAGTCATTGCTGTGAAAAGAAACATTTCATTTTAGAGAAGAAAAAAACATTTCTATCTATTTGTTTAAAAGTTATTTGACATACTGATTTTTTACTCCCTTCAGTTAGATATTTTGCATGGAGATTTTTGTTCATCTATTTTCACTGGTATTTTTTTATTTATTGGAGTGAGACCCGGAATTCACGCAAAATCAGATAACACATTTTAAAAATTCCAGTAGTATAAAAAATCATCATATAGTAAGACTCATCACAGTTAGACTCATAATAGTAAACTTATCATAGTAAGACTCATCATAGTAAACTCATCAGAGTAAAACTCATCAGAGGAAAACTCACAGAGTAAAACTCATCAGAGTAAAACTCAGAGTAAAACTCATCAGAGTAAAAGTCATCAAAGTATTAAAAGATAAAGGAAAGAGAAAGACAAAACTGTTAGCAGTATAAAGCTAGAATATGCGATCAAAGACCATGTATTACCTAAACATAAATGTGTGCTTATATGATATTGGAATAACATTGCAGGCACAAAAAGCATAACTGGAAATGATAAAATGTCAATATTTTTGTCAGTTGAAGCTTTAAAATTTCAAAATCAATACTTTATTCAATTTTTTTTATAAGATCTTTTATCTTCAATACGTATACATAGTAATCTAAAAAAAATAAAGATTTGAAATTATAGCAGTGGATAGAGTCAACAAGCTAGACAGAAAATCATAGAAGAAGACTAAGTATTCTGGTACAGCACAATGTGTAAGCGTAATAATAACGAAGGTAATATTGTCAAAGTACCTTGTTTTATTTTGATTTATATTCAGCAAAGACGTAATGAAATGGCGAACGAGTTTTTTTTCACAAGGCTGCAAACACATATGAGGAATTGACGAGGGGCATGGAGTAACCGGAACATATTCTCTTCGGAATGGTGTTTCAAGCTTTGAATTGGAAAATTAGTGACCAGTCACATTTGCAAATTCCGCAAGATCAACGCTAGAAAATGGAAGCTGTCAAACTAAATATGTAGGATTACGGTGTGTCAATCGCTAAATTTGCTGACCATGATAAAGAACATTAATACTTCACTAATAGCGATGGGTAGAGGGCAACAACATCAGCAACACAAAAGTTACAGGAACAACAGCGGTTATGGCAACAACAGAGTCAACAAACGTGACAGAAAATAATGGAAGATGATTAAGTATTTTGGTAACTTACGATGTGTAAATGTAGTAATAATTGCACAGCACATGACAGAACAATCTATAAATGGTAGAGTTTGCAAAAAAATTAGAAGCCAAGAAAGATATGGCAACAATACAGATAATTCTACTAGATAGTTTTCAAAACCATAGACACAATGGATTCGCGTCTATCCGTATAGAATAAAGACATACGTTATGCAGAGGTCAATTTTGCAGCATATCTGCATACAAATACAACTGCTACCTTTAAAGTATAGAAAGCTTTGTATCTCTGAGTATTTTAGGACAACAGGGTTGAAGAACTCGTTCACGCGTTTTAGGCAGAAGTGTGTTGTCATTTCATTGAAAGGTACTGTATTTTACCTCCAGTTTGTTCAGCATTCCTTAATATTTAAAAAAATAAACAGATTTCATGCTATCTCATGAAAATAAGGGAGATTTCTACACTTTAACATTGTACAAAAAATCTGCACTCTTAAAAGCAATACTGGACTTACAGGGTCATTGCAACTGTCGTAAACATTGAAATAAAACAATACAAGTGTTACAATGTGTTAAATGCTGCAAGATTTAAACAAATGTCAACCATCGTTACTGATAATAACACAAAAATAATCAGACATTGCTTTTGATTTAAATAACCATGATATAACACAAATTCAGAAACGCAGACTTATAAGATTTTTGAATAATAATAGGGAGGCTTTCGAAGCAAGTTTTTCATAGTAAAGCCATTCTATAATATGCAAACATAAGAAAGTGACACATTTATAGATATCACACGAGAATAATTATCATCACTTAACTTTGTAGTTGCTTTCATCAGATTGAGTTGGATCATGTAACAGGTCATAAATTTCCATTAATTACAAGAATTGGTGTTTATGAATGGCTTCATTTACCTATATTTCAAAGAAACTCTCTTCTCAGTTTTTAGATAATCATGACTCAAATGCTCAGATTGTTAGATTTGAATTTTGATTCGATTTATTTCGACAACAATTCATTCTTAGTCGAACTTTTGAGTAACATCTTAGACATCTAGAACACGAAGTAAACAGACTTTAAGACGCAAATTCTTACCGTAAAACCTTTTAGATGTGAGTTGGCAGTCAAAGAGGTCAGATACTAAGGTCGTTCCCTAACAAATAATTTCTCAGTTCCAATTTGGAAGTGAAAATTTTAACTTTAAACTGAGAAATATCAAGTTGGTACTGAGAAATGGCAATTTGTAGGCGGGAAATGTCAACATGGTAGAGAGAAAGGTCACTTTAGATCTGAGAAATATCAGCTTTAAAATGAGAAATGTTAACTTAGACATAATACTCGAATTTAAGGTTTCCTGATGAAGGTTAATCCAAAAAAGCGCTTCTGACGCATGAAATTTATGAGTGTTTTCTTTACATTACTTGGTCGATGCCTCTGCTGGTGAACTCTATGTAAACTCATCATAGATACTAGGATATAAATTCTGTACGCCAGACGAGTGTTTCGTCTACAATAAACCAAAAACGATAAAAAAAAAGCATAATAAAGTACGAAGTTGAAGACCATAGAGGACCAAAAATTCCGAAAGGTTTTGCAAAATACAACTACGATAATCTATTCCTTGGGAAGAAAATCCTAAGCATTTTGGAAAATTCCCGAGGGAATCTCAGCTAAGTAGTCAGTACAGTCAAATCTGCCTTTACGGTCACCTAGTTTCAGCGGTCACCTGCCTCTAACGGTCACTTTCAGACTCTCTAAAACGTGTTTCTCGAAACAATTTAACTCATTTTAGTGGTCATCTTATTTTTGCACGAAATCGTCACTTCAACTTTTAACTACGGTCATCAAAATGATTTTCATGCTTTTAAGAACCAAAATATAATCATGACGAAAAATATATGTGTTCAATATCGTGTAATTTAGGATAAATGTAATTTTAGCCACGTGTATTATTTCCCGTGGTTAGCTAGCCTTGAGACGATCCCTCACTCTGAATGAAGCACAATAATTGTGCTATTTGTATGTCAAGCAGTCATTCTGATATCTCAGATCACGGACAAAGAAGTGCCACTCAAACTATTAATGAAGTCGCAAAAAACCCGTATGCGCCTCAGAATTAGGATTAAATTATGCAGCAAAAAACTTAAATTGTTTACGTTTTGAGGCGTGGCACCGATTGCTGCCTGCTTCTGTGGAAGCCAGAGATTTTTTATTTTAAATGGTGTAACAGATGGTTTTAAGCTTAGTGTTGTTTATGGACCGCATCTGCTTGTAGATAGAAACACATTACTCGTCCGCTTTTCGCTTTCTGTGTACTGTTGAAAAACAAATTAAACTAGAGATTGATCTTGGAAATTATGTAGTTACAAAAACAAAACTGATTATAATCAGCTCATTAGGTGCGATAGAAAAATCAAATGGTGATGTGCGTATCATTCATGATGCTAGCCTACCGACAGGCATTTCTCTTAATTCTTATACGGATACTAGTTGTTCTTACATGGATTTACGACATGCGTTGCAGATAATTATTGGTAATGATTATCTCGGGAAAATAGATTTGAAGAGTGCTTATAGATCCGTAAAGTGTCATAATTCTGATTATCCTTTGACGGGCCTCCAGTGGACATTTACTGGAGACGATTCTCCAACATATATGTATGATGCTAAACTGCCGTTTAGTCACGCGCGAAGCCGTAAAATTCATCAGCAATTAAGTGCTTCTGTCTGTGAAATAAGAAATGTACATATAATGTTAATTGCATTGCTTATTTCGATGATTTTTTAGTGATTGAAGATTCGTTTTATCAGTGTCAAACAGGAATTCGTTTACTAATCGATACTTTACGTAGGTTAGTTTTCAACATCAACTGGAATAAAATTGATGGCCCATCTCAAAGTTTACCTTTTTTAGGGATTGTCATAAACACATTCCATGATGTCATTTTTATCTTTCTAAAACCGCAAACGAACCAGTGTGAAACAACTACAATCTTTGTGTGGCAAACTTTTGACTTTTGTTAGGCGATTTATTGATAACGTATTAAATGTAAATACAAACAATAGGAATGCAAAAATACTTTTGTCTACAGATTTCTTTTCTGATATTGCATGGTGGGTTAATTTCATGAATATGTTCAATGGAACAGTAACTTTTTAGCTCACCTGGCCCGAAGGGCCAAGTGAGCTTTTCTCATCACTTGGCGTCCGTCGTCCGGTGTCGTCCGGCGTCGTCCGTCGTCGGCGTTAACTTTTTACATTTTGAACTTCTTCTAGAGAACCACTGAATGGAATGAAACCAAATATGGCATGAATGTTCCTTATGAGGTGCTGACCAAGTGTTGTTACTTTGTAGCGGATCCATTATCCAAGATGGCCGCCAGCGGGGGACTTAGTTTAACATAGGACCCTATGGGTTATACATACAAATGTCTTCTTTTAGAGAACCACTGAATGGAATGAAACCAAACATGGTATGAATGTCCCTTATGAGGTGCTGACCAAGTGTTGTTACTTTGAAGCCGATCCATAATCCAAGATGGCCGCCAGCGGAGGACTTAGTTTAACATTGGACCCTATGGGAAATACATACAAATGTCTTCTTTTAGAGAACCACTGAATGGAATGAAACCAAACATGGCATGAATGTTCCTTATGAGGTGCTGACCAAGTGTTGTTACTATGAAGCCAATTCATAATCCAAGATGGCCGCCAGCAGGGGACTTAGTTTAACATTGGACCCAATGGGAAATACATACAAATGTCTTCTTTTAGAGAACCACTGAATGGAATAAAACCAAACATGGCATTAATGTTTCTTATGAGGTGCTGACCGAGTGTTGTTACTTTGAAGACGATCCATAATCCAAGATGGCCGCCAGCAGGGGACTTAGTTTAACATGGGACCCTATGAGAAATACATACAAATGTCTTCTTTTAGAGAACCACTGAATGGAATGAAACCAAACATGGCATGAATGTTCCTTATGAGGTGCTGACCGAGTGTTGTTACTTTGAAGCGGATCCATCATCCAAGATGGCCGCCAGCGGGGGACTTAGTTTAACATAGGACCTTATGGGAAATACATACAAATGTCTTCTTTTAGAGAACCACTGAATGGAATGAAACCAGACATGGCATGAATGTTCCTTATGAGGTGCTGACTAAGTGTTGTTACTATGAAGCCGATCCATAATCCAAGATGGCCGCCAGCAGGGGACTTAGTTTAACATTGGACCCTATGGGAAATACATACAAATGTCTTCTTTTAGAGAACCACTGAATGGAATGAAACCAAACATGGCATTAATGTTTCTTATGAGGTGCTGACCGAGTGATGTTACTTTGAAGCCGATCCATAATCCAAGATGGCCGCCAGCAGGGGACTTAGTTTAACATGGGACCCTATGGGAAATACATACAAATGTCTTCTGTTAGAGAACCACTGAATGGAATGAAACCAAACATGGCATGAATGTTCCTTATGAGGTGCTGACCGAGTGTTGTTACTTTGAAGCCGATCCATAATCCAAGATGGCCGCCAGCGGGGGACTTAATTTAACATAGGACCCTTTGGGAAATACATACAAACGTCTTCTTTTAAAGAACCACTGAATGGAATGAAACCAAACATGGCATGAATGTTCCTTATGAGGTGCTGACAAAGTGTTGTTACTTTGAAGCTGATCCATCATCCAAGATGGCCGCCAGCGGGAGACTTAGTTTAACATAGGAGCCTATGAGAAATACATACAAATGTCTTCTTTTAGAGAACCACTGAATGGAATGAAACCAAACATGGCATTAATGTTTCTTATGAGGTGCTGACCGAGTGATGTTACTTTGAAGCCGATCCATAATCCAAGATGGCCGCCAGCAGGGGACTTAGTTTAACATGGGACCCTATGGGAAATACATACAAATGTCTTCTTTTAGAGAACCACTGAATGGAATGAAACCAAACATGGCATGAATGTTCCTTATGAGGTGCTGACCGAGTGTTGTTACTTTGAAGCCGATCCATAATCCAAGATGGCCGCCAGCGGGGGACTTAATTTAACATAGGACCCTTTGGGAAATACATACAAACGTCTTCTTTTAAAGAACCACTGAATGGAATGAAACCAAACATGGCATGAATGTTCCTTATGAGGTGCTGACAAAGTGTTGTTACTTTGAAGCTGATCCATCATCCAAGATGGCCGCCAGCGGGAGACTTAGTTTAACATAGGAGCCTATGAGAAATACATACAAATGTCTTCTTTTAGAGAACCACTGAATGCAATGGAACCACACATGGCATGAATGTTCCTTGTGAGGTGCTGACCAAGTGTTGTTACTATGAAGCCGATCCATAATCTAAGATGGCCGCCAGCGGAGGACTTAGTTTAACATAGGACCCTATGAGAAATACATAGAAATGTCTTCTTTTAGAGAACCACTGAATGCAATGAAACCAAACATAGCATGAATGTTCCTTATGAGGTGCTGACCAAGTGTTGTTACTATGAAGCCGATCCATAATCTAAGATGGCCGCCAGCGGAGGACTTAGTTTAACATAGGACCCTATGAGAAATACATACAAATGTTTTCTTTTAGAGAACCATTGAATGGAATGAAACCAAACATGGCATGCATATTCCTTTTGAGGTGCTGACCAAGTGTTGTTACTTTGAAGCTGATCCTTCATCCATGATGGCCGCCAGATTGGGACAATGTTTAACAAAGGACCCTATGGACAATACATACAAATGACTTCTTTTAGAGAACCACATACTGAATGGATTGAAACCAAACATGGCAAGAATGTTCCTTATGAGGTGCTGACTAAGTTTTGTTACTTTGAAGCTGATCCTTCATCCATGATGGCCGCCAATGGGGGACTTCCTTTAACATAAGACCCTATGGGAAATACATACAAATGCTTCTTCTAGAGGTGCACTGAATGGAATGAAACCAAAACATGGCATAAATGTTTCTTATGAGGTGCTGATGAAGTGTTGCTACTTTGTTGCCGATTTACTGTTCAAGATGGCCACCAGGATTTTTTATTAAATTACAGGACCAATATTAAACCAAATTTGGCCTCACTCATTATTAGGGTATCTGTTATGATTTTAATCTATTTTTACATGATTTCCAAAACCAAAGTAGAATCAGGTGAGCGACACAGGCTCTTGAGAGCCTCTAGTTTAGACTCTAAAACAGTTACTTGCTTGTAAACTGATGCTTGGTTACATGGTGGTGCTGGATATTATGAAGGAGACCTTTTCTATGTGAATTGGGACACAGATTTACCGAACTTCACATAAATATTAAAGAGACTATGGCTATTGTGTTGTCCGCGATGAGATGGGGACATTTGTGGGTTAATAAACGTGTTGTCGTATCTACAGACAACATGACTACAAAATGCATCATTAATAAAGGTAGTTCTAGAAACAAAACTTTAATGACGCAGTTGAGAGAACTTTTCTGGTTGTCGGCTACACACAATTTCGACATCAAAGCCATATTTATCAGTGGTCGTAATAATGTTATTGTTGACGCCGCGTCAAGACTTCATGAATCAGGACAATTATCTAGGCTTTATGATAAACTTGTGATCCACTTATTTTATATACCGTTTACGACTATCGAGCTACTTAATCACATATCTTTTGACTTTTTTAATTCCAGATGGAGAAACAATGGAAACGCAAATGTTGGAGAACACCGTGTTTCGCTTGAAAAGCAAGGGGTTGGCTAGTTCAACTTCAGGAGCTTACCGTACCCATCTCAAGACTTATCTGGAGTTCTGTGAAAATTATGACCTAAAACCAGTGCCATGCAAACCAAAACTGTAGAACTTTACATTCCTTTTTTTTTTGTGGATGTGAAAACTTTGCGTTATCGTATTTGAACATTATATCTGTGCTGCATAAATCGCACGACAAACCGGACCCTATTGCTGTCGGAGTGTCCTACATTTACTGACTGGTGTCAAACAGGAACTTGGTACCAGTCAAAATTGTAAGGCACCTGTTACACCAGAACTATTGTTAAGATTTAAGTCAATTTCAAATCTTGAATGTCATAATAATATTTTTTGGGGCTGCTTGTCTTACAGATTTGTATGGTTTTTTGCGACCAAACAACTTTTTAATCAAAGGTTCTTTTGATCCAAAAATCAATTTTCGAAGGATAGGTGTGCTGCCTTGCAGCTGGGGTATGCTTGTTACACTCAAACTTACTTAGACGCTGCAGTTTCGTTCTAAGCCTATTGAAGTAATTCTTCCTTTGTTACACGGTCACCAGCTTTGTCCGTATGAAGCCTTATCCCGTGTGCTTGCCCTACCTGGAGATCCCTTAGATCCTTTATTTAGGTTGTCTGACAAAAATTGTTTGTCTTATACTGTTTTTCTCCGGTGCCTTCGTATTTTTGTTGCAACACCTTGGCTGTAATCCTCAGAGTTATGGGGGACACTCTTTTCGTAGGGATGCTGCCACTTGGGCAGGATCTGTAGGTCTTTCGGACAGTGACATAAGATTACTAGGTTATTGGCCAAGTGATTGTTTTTTACGCTATATTGATTCTGATAGAGACCAGCGTCTTAAAGCCATGACTTCATTCTGTTCTTTATTACCACCTTTTTAACAAACTACCCCCCTTCTTGTTTGGGTTTGGGGTTATATTTTTTATTATGTCATATATCATGTACAAGGGGGGTTTTATGCTTGGGGTTACCAAGCTAATAATAAAATTGCCATTATTATTATTGTTGTTATCTTAAACAACCCTGTCTCACATCTGTTTTATCAATTAACTAGTGAGGTGAAGTGTAATTTAGGATTAATGTAATTTTAGCCACGTGTATAAATACCCCGGGGTTAGCTAGCATTGAGACGACCCCTCACTCATGCGCAGCCTCGCTGCCTCGCAGAGATTGTTACCACATGGCATTGTGATAGGCTTCGTAAGCATGCAAGCACGTTTTTTCTTAGGTCCCGCCCTCCCTCCCAGTAGCATTACTAAGGGTGATGTGGTTTTTGCTTTGCTTTTATTTTGAATATTTGTTTGTAGTTAAGTATTTGTAATACTTATTGTTTTCTTGTATGGGATTATATTTTTATTATGTCATATATCATGTACAAGGGGGTTTTAGGCTTGGACAAATATTGGGGTTACTAAGCTAATAATAAAACTGCCATTATTATTATTGTTGTTATCTTAGACAGCCCTGTCTCACATTTGTTTTGTCAATTAACTAGTGAGGTAAAGAGGTAAACATGAGACTCGGAACCCGTTTGTAACCGAAATCGCGCATTAGAAATGAATTTGTGAATTTCTCGTGTTCCACTCCTTTTAGTTTCCAGTGAAAACCGTATCATAGACTTATTTCTTTTCGAATATTTACTATTTCGAATGTTTTCTTCAAATTGAGAGCGCCGGAATCTGCCCTTTTTATATTTGTCTGCTCGCACGAACGATAATTCTACCGCTTGAAAACACTAAAACAATTTGCCCCGATCCCGGCCACGTGCGATGTCGGAATCGGATTTTTTTCCGATCCTCATTTAAAAGGTCACATCTCTTGAGCGGTCACTTTTGATACTTCCAATGAGTGTCTGCTGAATACAGGTTTGACTGTACTTTGGTACTGATATGATTTATAACAAACCATTATTCAACTGTCCGTTGATGAATTTAGAAAATATTTAGAATGGCGTTCCTGGTTAAAAGCTCTTTGGACGTATAAAATGTATAAAGTGTTGTTTTCATTTTTTTTTTAATGTATGAATTTTGAAATGAGATTTTTTAACAACAGAATGGGACATCAAAATGTCAGTCTATTTGTGCTAGGATAGTCAAATGTAAATATGCATACCTGCTTTAATTAGTGACCACCAACTCAGCAAAAATACAACTTTCAGTGGAAGACACATCATCTTGGCCAGTAACGATTGAAATAAATCTACTATTACTCAATACATCTAGGAAAATTACATACTGATGTATACATTTGTGCATTTGAGCATGTCCTACAACAGATGTAGACAAATAAAAAAGTTCGTGTGTCAGGTGCAAATGTTTGAAACTTATCTTATTGATTCGACAATTATTTGATTAGATATGCATATCTTTACGAGTAATCAAGAGTGTATAATAGAATAGCTATCGGAAAATTGTAAAAATATAATCAAGTTATTATATTAATAAGGATTCAAAATTTTGACTTCAAAATTATAGTCAATTTAGCAGTGATTAGCTTTAATTTTAAAGTACGTCTTTGACATGGACGATGGTCATTATCATAACATGAAGAGGGTAGAAGTCAGATGCATGAATATCCTAGTCGCAGGTTATAATATTTGACAACTCAACAGTTCCTGTAGCTTCAAAACTATTCCATTTAGATAGTAGGTAAAACTTTGTTTCCATGACAATATACAAGAAAAAGAATTAACAAAATACAGAACAAAAAAGTAACACAATCAAACGTTAGAATTTATCAACCAACGGAACGAATGGAAAATATCTGTCATATTCCTGACTTGGAACAGGCAGTTTCCAAAGAAAATGGTGAGTTAAACCTGGTTTATAGCTATCTATACCTCCCACCTGTATGACAGTTGTTTACAGTTCCGTTATATTGACCGAATGGATGCGTAACAAAAACAGGCATAATAGGTAAATGTGACGATAATTGGGATCAAGCAGTAAAACTTGTGTAAAAATACATCATAGACATCATACAACACAACTGACTAAAGAATTCAAACAAACATACAAAGACGCCAACAAAAAATGTGATTGTAAGTGATAGCGAATCTGTCAAAAACGTCAACCAAAAAATGTTTTTGTAGTTTATAGTGTATACAGTATAAAGTATATTTTAAACGATTGCTTCTATCGTCTATGGTCTATGTTAAATCCTAATGATTAAGTCAAAAAAATATTTTTTAAATTATTTTAGAATTAAATTCTAGAATTACAATTGAACACGGATTATATCCCTTGTTGAAGAGTATACTGGTACAAAAACTATTTCGCAGTAGTGCAGATCAATGTGAAGTGCGAAGTTAATAAAAAAAAACTATGTGTTACTTTAATGCATAAACATTTCCAGATTTATATCTTTAATCTAAATAGAAGACAATATAACTATTATTTATGCTCCTTACCTCTGTTATTGGTCCAAATGAAATGTTTAACTTTGGCGCAAATGAAATATGATTTGTAGCGCAAATGAAAGAGTTTTTAGCTGCGATGAATACTAATTGGCGCAATTGCAAAAAAGGCGGAAGATACCAAAGGGACATGTTTCAAAACTGACAAATCGAAGAAAAACTTAAAACGTCATGGCAAAACACACACAACGATGACAAGACAAACAAGTCCACAAAACACTACTTAGAAAACTGAAAACTGAGCAACACGAACCCAACCAAAAGGTGGATTGAAATCTGGAAGGGAAGCAGTTCTTGCTGTACATGTGGCACCCATAGTATTGGTTATGTAATAACAAATCCGGTAATAAATCTCATTCGGCGAAATCACAATCGAAGAAAGAAATTAAGGGATTGTGGTAACGACAATTTGAATTTATCTGTCGTCATCTGTGACACAGACGTGTCATAACGGTCAACCATCTCATGAGCTTTCTTGTAAGCAGCAATCCTTGACAATGATGGTAGGAAACGCACGCTCTATAATATCATATCAACTGAAATATGTACTCCATATGCAGAGGCTGATGCAATTTTGATACATAGAAATGAAAGTTCACAAATGGGAAGCGAAAATCATCCATTGTGTCGTAAAAAATTTTTCTCAACCAACCCTTTTTGTCAATTTCTAAATGTAAGTGAAGATAAAAAAATGAATTATTCAGTGGGAAGACATCACCTATATGGCAGAATGTGAAGTTAAATGATAATGCTAGCTTGTTTTTATTCTTACTGAAAACTCCTCAATGAAGTCTGCCTAATTTGAATAAAAGAAGAAGTCGGCAAGAAGAGGAGCACAGTTGATTCCAATAAGATAGATTCCAATTGTTTGTTATAAAAACGTAACATATATGCTGTCAATAAAAATATCAAGCATCTTAATGATGTCACTTTTACAGATTTTTGTATAAGATATGATAGATAAACTAATGATTTTCCCATTCTAAAACAAGATGTTTGTATCTACGTTGGCCATCCT